ATGGAAAAAGCTTGTTTCAGTCCTTAATCTTCTGACAAACTTAACACATGAACATGACTAAAAGTTTGTGATGTCACTCATACAAACTGGAATACAAGCAGCTTCACAGTTATTCAATCGGCGTTCACTTCTTTGTAACAGAATAAAAGAATTCTGGAACGTTTTCTGCAAAAGAAAAAAATTTAATTAACTAAGTCATATTTGGTAAATTGAAAATAATGTTTTGAGAAGATCAATGTTTTATCGTATCAGTCTGATCTCCTCATGATAAAACTTGAGAACTATACTGGGGTTCATGCAAATCGAGAAATCGTGCGAGAAATGATTATGATTATAGATTATGTTTATTCGTAATTTAGGTTAAGCGAAACCCTAGAATTATTTATAGTTACCAAGAGAAGATAAAGAGGGTAGCCCCTTTATCCTTTCTTGTAGTTACTGATGCAATGAAGAAAAATTCCGGATTCATCAAGCACTCCCGGCCCAGACTTAGCCCTTTAATGCACGAAGTGAACCATAGTACTAACTGTTTAAGGACTCTTGCTAGCCTTTCTTAAACTTAGCAAGGCCCTAGCAGGCTGCAAAGAAAGGCCGTTTTACAGCTTGCCATTCGGGCAAGCTGGAGGTAGCATTTACTAGCCCAAACGTCATTTGAACTAGCCCCAGAAACTTTCTGATGAGCAGAATTAATTTCACAGTTCTTCTGTAATTAGAATTCCTCAAAAAACTTCACTTGTCCGTCGGGCAAGTTGAGAACAAAATTCACTAGCCCGATAGCAAAATCCACTAGTCCCGGGCTATCGGACACGACTTTCTTTGCGCGCTGCCCTAGCCTACAGAGCAGGCGTTTTTCCTTTTAACGAAAGCGCGACCTAGAGGTACACTGATCGCCGCCGCCATCACCAAAGCAATTGGAAACTGAGGGAGGAGGGGCAGAATCTTTTTTGACTCGCCTCAACTCTCTATCAGTTCAACGTCCAAATCGTTCGCACTGCAGTTCATTGTTAATGCTGTCCCCGCTGATCATGCACTTATATTAATTGACCACTCCAGAAAATACCATAACATACCATAATGCTCTTTCGTTGTCACCCCAAAAATTTGCATAAGCATTGTTTTCATTTTCTCTTGGGGACATTTTAACTCCCAAGAGAAACTGAAAACAATGCGTATACAAAATTTGGGGTGACAAACAAAGAGCATTATGGTATGTTATGGTATTTTCTGGAGTGGTCAATAGCGGAGCTCCACGCGAGACGCGAAGTGCCGCGCGTGTGCGGAGCCCCATAGCTAAGGAAAGGTGGTAATCTACCCATCCGAGAAAAATTGGTAATCACGTGACCGTACATCGCCCGCCCGACCGTCCGTCTGCACCACAGGCATACCAATGTAAATAACTCAATCAACAGGTATGGCAACCCAAATCCAACTCAAGGTTTTATTTGGAAGGAAATCACATGGCCGCCCGGACTTTTAGAAAGAAAAAACAACAACAAAGTCGTGTCTTTTTAGGCGTTATTTTTTATGTTTACACTAACGTGGATAACAGAAAGAGCTAGAGCGAGTTATTGAAAACAAACGAGACGAATTTCGTAGGAAGAAAAACATGGATGAGAGAAAATGAGAAATGCTAGCGGCCTTCAAGGTGAAAATGAGCAGCAGTGAAAAATAAAAGTGAACATGAACACAGGAAACAAAATATTGGGTAAGCACATACGACAATTCCTCCATAAAAATAATGTGTAACTAGGAAGTTTGACGTTTTAGACCCTGTTTACATGGAGTGGGGGACCCAGGTCTAGTGGGGTTGGTTTTTTTTTGTTTTCACGCTCTGGGGAACACAAAACAAAAGAAACCTACCCCACTAGACCGGGGTTCCCCCACTCCATGTAAACAGGGTCTTTGTCGTACAAAACGGCGTTGTAGTCGTGCAAAATAACGGCAAGGGAAAGACAAAAAAGCGTGCTGCACGTGCAAATTTGTTTTTGCTAATTAGAAGAAAAAGTGCGCTGCACGTGCAATTTGTCTTTTTGCTAATTAGATCTATTAGACTTGAAGCCATTTTGATTGTCATCCCCGTTTAGCATTACATGATGTAATTTTTTTTGTTTACCCGTTTTATTAACCAGAGCTTCGCTTGTAGCCCTGGCTAAATCTGTATATTATATATTTTAAGCTTTAGTCCGGAGTTTTGTTTTGGAAAAGGGTTTCAAGAGCCCATCACCTGCATACTGGCCAAGCGGCTTATGGCCAGAAAAAACCATAAGCTGCAAGACATGTCCCTCCTCTGAAACAGCTGAATTTTTTCAATACTATTTGACATCATGACAAACCACACACGGTATACCACAAACTGCACTAATTTACACCCAATACCCAACAGTGAGCCACTGCCAAAATTAAAACATGCCTTTTGAACATCGTCTTAATCATCAATATTTTTACCCTAAAATCTCCACTGGGTTTGCCAAAAAAAAATAATCAAACGAAACCTTTTATTGGTTTTCGGGATTTAATTACAGAGAATTACAGGTGTATGCCCGTACAGTATTAAAATGCGGTAAAGCAACAAGATTCAATGCTCACTGTGAGTCTCTCACAAATACCTGTCATTTAGCTTCCTCTTTCTACACTACAGCTCAGCGAACTTTCAAAGGATTGATATGGGGTTCCACTAGCTCTGAAGAGCTGAAAATACCCACAGTGTAAAGTATAATACATCCATTGATGAACCCCCTCAGTTGCTGTGTCTGAATTCCTCAATCTTGCTGTGTACTGGCCCTCAAAAGTGTGACCGGTAGGTATGATTGCCCATAGTGCACTTGTCACTGGAAACAACCTTGCCTGAAACCTTGCCTGCAAGCCTTAAGTTAAACACTCAGAGGAGAAGTTCACCAAGTATGCGTGCATTTAAGGAGGAGGAACGGAGCGTCCTTATTTCTGTGACATTAATGAAAGGAATTACGGGGTACAAAACTGTGCCAGCTATTGGCATCACGTTCTGTATGTAAGTGAAGGGTCCAACCTTGTGACAGCTACTAAGAAAGATTTCTTTCCTTAATTGTTTGTTTGTTTGCTTGTTTTTGTTATCCGCATTTCTCGTTTTTTTTCTTCTTACTTTTTTTGTTATCCGCATTTTTTTTCCATCCGCATTTTTCTATCCGCATTTTCCCATCCGCATCCGCCATCCGCAGGTATCCGGTCCGCGTTTTACAGACACCCTTTCCATGGAGACACCTTCCACCCCTGTTCTTGACCTGACCTGTTTATTATAATCTGTAACGGTCCCTTTAGATCACTTTTGAAAATGTATGTTGACTAGCATACGAAACGTCAAGTTTATATAAAAATGCGAAAGTTCACAATGTTTATCACCGCCGTTTGTGATTTACTTTTTAATTACTATCACTGATTAGCCGTAAGAAGGCTTTTTCCAGTAGTGAAAAATGGAATAACATATACCTGTGAAATCATAATCATTTATAAAAGAAATAGGTGGTCTAAGCGGGCTTGTACCGCCCGGCATTCCTCCCAGAAGAATCCGTCTATCTGCACTGACATTCTCGAACGCAAAGCGAAATTTTGCCTATCGTAAGTTTATACACAGGAGAGAGCACAGGCAGCCCAAGTTCGAAATTTGAGCATCGGCGAGCATCGGCATTGTTGCGTAACATTCAAAATATAAGGATTTGTATGGGAAAAAAAACCTAACATATTTCGAGCTTGGGGTACCTGTGGGGAGAGTGGCAATATAGTTCGGATCATTTTACCTTTCCGATAATTCATCATCGGGGATACCGTCTGGGCCTCTTCCATTACCTCATATGAAAGGAAAGGGAAGGGAAAACTAACTTTTCGGCCTGTTAAAGGACCAAAAAGTGCTAACAAACGCATTTTATGGATGTGAAAGAGAAGGTAACTTTCTGGTTTTAAAATGACGGAGCAACTAAAGCAGTTAAAAGGGACGCGTGCACCCCGTTAATACGGTCACCAATGGGCTAAAAAAAATTGATCGTATTATTAAACGGGTGACCATATTAACGAGGGTTATTTTTTTTACAAGAAAATGTATGGCCGTTTGCCGTGCGGCCACAAAAAGTGGCCGTAAGGCGGGGTTCCACTGTATTGTAAGTATACATGTCAAAGGAGCACCATTTGTTAGTAGCCTGAGATATAAGAAAGGGGTAAGCGGTTAGACCGAGGGGAGAAGCCTTCCCGTAAAAAACATCGATGATTTGAGCGTTTAAAAAGTCGGGAAAAACAGTGTACTTGGGTTTTGAAGTCCCATTGACGTGTTGTAGGCATATAGTTTTCTAGTAGAAACTGATGTTCATCCGTAACTTGAACAGCTTTACTTCTCAAAACAGTAAAACGCATGCTCTATTTGGGCTAAATTTTGCTGCGTTACGTTCTGATGTATAATGTAAAAATACCCTTCAATTTTCACTTATCATTTCTTCAATATAAAAATGAGATTAAAATGGTCACTGTACAATAAAACGTTTTTTTTTAACCCTACTTCCGGCTATTTTCTTCCAGTTCCCGATGGACTACACAGCTAGGAAAAGTAAACAAACAACTGTAACAAAAACGTAACAATAGAGAGCCCACGTTCGAATCCGAGGCTTTATAACCTGAGATCAGGCTTTATTTCGTTTCGCTTTGTAAATAACATTCCGGTAGCCGTTAGAGAGAATGTATGAGAACCGCTCAAATTGGACCTGATCTCAGGTTAGAGGCTTTAGGGTCAAAATTACAAATTTTTTAACGACTCCATTGTCTCGCAATTCCCAGAAGAGACTTGAGCACAAAGAAAACCAAACTAAATATAGAAAATGACCAGAAAGTCCCGGAGTTCTTCTAGAATTTTTATATGTCGAACGTGAGCTATTGCGTACGTAGTTTCAATTTTTTATCGGCGGAACGGAAAGTACGTCGAACCTAAAAATAACGAAGAAGTCTGGACACTAGACGGTGGCTTGGAATCGAGTCAGAAGAAAATGAAGCAATGGCGGATCGTTGTGATTGTGTCAGGGTTGATAATTTTACTCCTCATAGCAAATTTCAGGTACGTTCTGACTTGTAGCACGATACACATGTACATTAGTGGTTGCTCTAATATATTTTCCTATATCTTTGCAAGCTAATGACGGATTTCGTTTAAACTTTCTACCTTACTTCAACAAGGATTGTAGTTAAGTGATATGTTAAAAAAATATCATTTGGAAGAACCTAGGAATCAAAAAATCTTGAAGATGAAAGAAAATAGTTACAAAATCAGCGTGTAACGCGTAACAGCTAATTTGCATGAAATAGTTAAAAAAGTAAAATTTCACCCTTAACACTATCTCATTAAGAAAATTCAACAGAGCAGAAATATTAAATAGGGAAAAAAAGACACCATACGCAAAATTACAGTTCTCTTCATTTATTTTTCAAATAACGAGAATTATAATTCTAGGGACGGTTGCCATTAAATGCCTGTGTAACGCTCAAGGTCCAACAGCGCTCCATGCCTTACAAATATAAGGCTAGCGACTTCCAAACGCACCTACAAAAGAAGATAATTCGTCTGAGTAAAGTTCATAACATTGTTTACCATCGAGTAAGAAAGGTTTTTAAAGATCACTCACGGCGATGAAGAAATAAAGAATTTTCGTGTTCGGAAACTAAACTGTTGTGTACTTTTGATGTGTGAAATTAAATATTACTTACCCAAAAGAAAACCTGTATCTCAGCCTCTAGTTAACAACGGTCGCTGATACACAGCTGCAACACAGTTCAGTTACTGGTCTTCAAATCCTGGTAAGGTTTTTTAGTCTTCAGTAGGCTTAAAAACGAAGAAATTCTACAAATGGTGAATCGGAAACATATTTCCAGTTGAATGCCATGTTTGTCTAAAGCGTAACGATCGAATTACCACCACACTCGCAGCAGAAAACTTCCCAAATGAAACTTGAATTCAAGCCATTTTCCAGCCGAAATCCACAAGAAACATCGAAGGAGTCCTGTGTAACCTCTCCTTAGTATCTGGGGGTGTTTTTTTGTAACAAATCAGGGGGCAAAAAGCGGGGAAAACGTGAGGTAAAAATAGAGTGGATGTCACGATTGCGTTACACAAATACCGAGATGAATACCGAGAAGAAAAGCCTTTCAAATAAATGTGGAGGGAAGAAAAGATCAAGAAAAAGAAAGAGGCAGACAAAAAGCACTTCGAGCTTAATAAATTTGTTGTATTTTAGCGATAATAGTCATGCTAAGCAAGCCAAAAAGTCAGATGCCACGCCCAAAAAGGATTCTGGGTAATTTCTAAAATAAGCTGTAGACAAGAATTATACCATGAAAATTTTCCAAATATGTTTCTTTGATGTTAATTACTTAATATCTGGCAAGTAATGATGGTTTGGGAATATTTTACTCATTTTCATAAAAGTGCCCTATGTTACACTGATGTACATGTGTATCGTGCTACAAGTCTCTGCAAATTTATTTTCACCTTAATTAAAATAAGAGTTATGTCTGAATATTTTCTGGGCAGTATACTTTCACTTTCGATGAAAATTAGAGTTATTTTCGGTAAAATTTTCAGTCAGCCCCCATGCCTATATCCCGGCCAATAACTGTACATGTAAGCTTAACTATTATTATTTTCAAATAATCTGAATTTTGATAATACTAACCCCGTGAACAAGAGGTGTACATGATTAAGGCGTAGAATATAGGTATAGTAGATTTATCGTGCCGTGCGGAGATTATCACTGCCTTCACCCTCTCAAGAAGACATAAGGAAGCTCTACGAGCAGGCTACGCCAAAATCGAACAAGCGAAAGAAAGGCTCTAATGCCTGGGTGTACTGCCTTGTTCTCGAATTTGATTTCCTTTTTTGACTTCAGTATTCAGATAAAGAAAAGAAGTACTAAGAATAAAGAAAACTCATCAAGAACGAGTTCAGCTGTTGCCGACTTGAATACTACACTTCGCCCAACAGTTATTGAATACAACAGCACAAATTCTTTAGGTAAGTATCTAACGTTTAGAGAGTAGTGGAAGTTGAAGCTCAATTAATCAATCAAAAGCTTTATCTCACTTTGAATTTCAAAGATAGCATAAACGTATGCTAATATCTCCGACGGAAAAGCAAATTAAATAGAATTTAATAAATGAAAATGGTAATTAGAATAAAGTAATACGTATATATTATGTACAAATTTAAGATAACGTAGACAAGAAAAATATTATATACACTGTGACTATATATATAAACTAATTACAAAAGGAGCAGCATTTATTATCACAGCTAATGCTCTCAATTTTTGATTAAAGAAAACATGTATTGACTCGGCAGTTCTAAGTACCTCTGGAAGCATATTCCAATATTTGCTGCCAGAGTAGCAATAGGAGTGCAAACCATATTTGGTTGATTGAACTCTGGGAATACTAAGAGAGTGTTAACCACACAAATTGTAAGAAGAATTTCTTTCTATCAGTAGCTCACTAATATAACAAGGGGCCAGACCATGAAAAGACTTATATACAAGAGTTAACATATCATGTATTCTACGATTGTGCAGGCTAGGCCTATTGATGTTCTCTAGAAGTTTGTCATAGGAACTATGACAGTCGTTAAAAATAAAATGTAAGCAGCTATTCTGCATCAGGGAGAAGAGGATGCAAATTATTTATGAGACAGCAATTTTGTTTATCCAATAGCGACCATCACTCGCCCTAGCCTCCCACACAGGCATTTTTAGGGGAGCTCCTCATCTTTCATCCCTCCCCTCAAACGCCTGCTCATCCAAGAACAAAAAAATTCCTTTCCCATTGTTTTATTTGCATTGTAAGTGACCAACCAACAGCTCTCAAATAAAGTGTTGACAGGCTGAACACGACTAAAACATGACCCTAGAATTACCATTTTCCTTCTTTTCTTTCCTTCGCTAAGGTTGTGCAGTGCAGGGAGTATTCTAAGATTTGACTAAATCTTACTTTTGCTGCTCTGAATCTAACATTTATTGAAGTCAGAAAACTTTCCCAGTGTTTCATGCAGATCGAGTAATTATCAGATTACCATGCGGTCAATGTAATTTGCTGAGCTGGGGAAAGGAATGTTGTGTTCGGTTGAGCAGGCACTTGTGGGGAGGGATGAAAAACAAGCTCCCCTAAAAACGCCCGCATGGGACAGGCTATCACTCCCCAGGGCACAGTTGTACCCTAGGCATTTACATGTCATTCAAGGTCAAGTCAAGACAGTTATGCAAACCCGAGATGAAGTCCAGGGTTTGTATAACTGTGGAGAATTCTCCCAACCCCTCAAGTGTTTATATCAGGCTATGCAAACACAGGAAAAAACTTTTCTTTTGGTTATTGCTTTTATAAAATAACTTTCCCAAGAAAAAATGTAAAACTCTTTGTTATGGCACTGATTAAAAGAGAAAGTCTTGTACACAAAGTCTTGTACGCATAATCAGTTCTTGATTTGCAAAAAGATGCTATTCAAAATACAGATTTTTCTCGCTTAAACTGTCAGCTCAAGCGAAACAAATTGACACACCTTCTTTGTAACGATTTTCCAAGTTTCAGCCGATGGAGGAATGGGTAACTAAAGTAATCTTGTTGAGTTTTGAACTCAAAAACTTTTTCAAATTCGTGCTTGCGTGATTAGCGCGTGAAAAGCAAAACATCTTGACACCACAACCATGTTTACATACTCTCATGCAAACACTCCTCTCAGCCAATCAGAGCCTACTATCTTAGTTATTTTATAAATAGGTATGAGCCGTATGGTATGGTATCTCAACACACAAACCTTCACTGCTTTCCTAATACTCTTCAGGATGGCTCAGTTTTAACTGATGATTAATGTTTGCGTCATTTGTGCACTTCAATTTTAGCCGATACAATTTAGGTACCCTACTAGCCTGTTCCTGGCTCTCAGATAGTGGGGAGGGCATGGAAGAGTGGGAATGATGTGAAAGAGAAAGGCACGTGAAAAGGGGGGCGAGGCATTTTCTTTTTCTTGTTTGTGCTTCAATTCTGCAGAACCGACTATTTTGGAGCCTGGAACAGGCTAGTACCCTACCTAAGGATCACACCAGCACCACAATGCTAACAATACCCTATTTACATGTAAGGGTTGCTATTAAATTCTTAGTTTTTCTCCTTTGAATAGGGTGCCATTCTTTGGATTTTGACTTAATTAGGGTATCAATTTTATTTATATCATCCGTAAATAGGGTCAGGGTTTAAGAACCTGGGTGGCCTGCACACACCCAGTCAAAATGTATGGGAGTACCTGCCCTGGGGCCCATCTAGACTAGCTTATAAGAGGCCCTGCCAGGGGTGGGGGGGAGGGGTCCCATGTCACCCGTCTGAATTTTAAAACTTCTTGTGTCGGTGTTTATAAATGCTTGTCGCTCATTGTCGGCTTTGCCATCACTGTCGCAATTTGGCTGAGGGAGGTTGTCTCTTGTCGCAATTTCATTTTACGCGCTGTCGCTACTTTTTGGGCCATGTCGCTTGTTGGAATTTACCCTGGCAGGGCCTCTTGTAAGCTAATAATGGGTGACAAGTTTTGTTGTTGTTATATTATTGTAAATTGAAAGTTTGAAAAAAGTAATTAGTAATAACTGCAGAAACTCAATGCAGCAACTGATTTTACTAACCCATTGCTCAAGCTGCTACATTATGGTTTTATGCTCAAAATTTTGCCGGCATAATCTGAAAGATCAGAGGGCTTTTTATGTACATGTATATATCTAGTGGCACAAACATGAATATTTTCTCCTTGAAAATGTGATCAATTTGATCACCCTTCTTCAGGGCTTCTATCAGCCAATAGACTATTGGTAGAGGGCAGGCACTGTGTTGTTTAAATAGTATTAATAATTATTTCTCTTATATTACTGAGCAGAAAATGCAAAGAATGTTCCAAATTCAAAGTGTTGGAAAAAAGAAAATACAAGGCTCATTGGAGATTGTATTCATTGCAGCGATTATGAAAAGGTAAGTAATATTATAGACATACTCATTGAGTTCTCATGAATGTTTGCTCTGAGTACATGTACATCTTCATATATAGGCCAGTTGAAATGTTTTAAATCAAAATTTTTATCAACTCCTGTTGTGTGTACTGAAATCATGGTTTAAGTTGCTATAAAAGATCAGAATATGTGGCACTTTGTCAACAGAGAGGTGAAACACCGGTACAATGTTATCTTAGTGGAACTGACAACTGTGATGGTCTTTAAATATCCCCATTCTGCTTACTAGATGTAAGGCATGCACTAACAATAATCAAAACAAAACCTTTATTAAACCAATATTTCCAAATTCCCTCAAAAAGTTCTGAAAATATTAATCTATTACTTTCTTTTAACTACCAGTGAATTGCATCTTTCCAGTGTAATCTCCTCCACCCCCAACTCTCTTGTCATCCTCTCTTTTTTTATCCACCCCCTGTCAAGTTAAAAATTGACAACTTGGATGACAAACATAGCTGAAGTGGAGTCTGATGCAGCTGAACTAATCAGTGATGATTCAAGCTCTGACGTTGGGCATATTGACATGAAAATTGATCAAGGAACCAAATTTGGAACACTTAAAAAGCCCATAATCAGTTTAAATGATGAGATTATTTTTTTAATTATTTAATGGGGTAGTAAAACAAAATTTATTAGGCATGACTTCCAGTGAGTAATATTTGAAATAATCAGCTCCCTCAAGTAATCACTTTCCCTCGATTAATCGCCCGAAAAAAAGAACAATTGCCCCCGGCTATTATTCGAGGAAATACTGTATTATTATTTGTGCAATTGTTGAAGTTCAATATTGATGTGTGTTATGCCCAATTTTTATTTTAAAGCAAACTATTTCTGGATGTTTAGAATTTGGAAATATACAGCAAGGACTTTGTATTTCTTCAAATGTTAAATTTTATAAAAGGTTTGTTTTGTCAATTTCTAGAATTATTAATTGCTCCCTACCTGCAACTTTTCCAAACACTTAGTGTTTTTTTTTGTAAGTGGTACATGTATATAGATGCCAACCTCTAAAGATCTAAAATCTGGAGACTTTCTCTCTTGCATTACCATCCCCCGCCCTCCTCGCAAAAAATATATACCGTATATACATATACGTCAACGACTAAACCATCAACTCCCCCCCCCCCACCCCAATTAAAACCTTTAAGCCCTAAGAGTGATCAGCACAAGAATTTCTCCTTGTAATATCAATGCTTTGTAAAACAGAGTGGTCAAGAGAATTATGGACATGATCACACAAGATGGAATTTGCTTGATATTTTATTAACTTCTCCCCATTACTTCTGTTGGAAATGAATAGGGGTAAGAAATGAGAATTCAGATTTTGATCTTAGGGTTTAAAGGGTTTTAAAACCCAATTTGATCCAGTCCCCAAGTGTCACTTAGGGCATTATGTGAAGTCTTAATGCTAGCAAAAATCAAAAGGAGACCAAAACAGAACCCCACCCCCCAATCCCCTCCCGGTATTAATCTATTGACCCTCCATGAGCCGAGTGTGGATATTATCTGGAACCACGCATTTTCAACCAGTTAGTTTTAGTATTTTGTGTTTTTATTTGCTGTAGTTGTCCACATGTACTTCAGTGGGAAGAAAAGAAGTTCGTGATGTTTACGGTAAAGATGTACCTTTTTTTATGCCCTGTGTATTTACCAAAGGAATTTTGCAGGGGTAGGGGTGGGGGAGAGGGACTGAAAATTTCAAATGAACTGAACTGTCATTTATAACTGACAACATTGGAAGGTTTGTTTCTATAATTTAAGGCATGGGAAGATTAGATATCAGTCCAGTTGGAAATGTTCAAGCCATAGCTGGCAAGAAAAAGAACAACTTCAGCTAGTTCAATTTCCTCCTTGGTCCAATTTTCTGTGTTTCTTTGTGTGGTTAAATATTTCTAAACCATTCAAAAGCAAAGGAAAATAATTAAATAATAGTTATTATTGAAATGCTCCATGGACACAGTTGAATGAAAACAAAACACTATCCAATCTTATCATTATTCTATTATTTTTCTGATCAATTTATCACGTTCCAAGGTAGCCTCTCACACAATCATTTTTAGGGGAGCTTGTATTTCGTCCCTCCCCACAAACGCCTGCTCAACCAAGAACAACATTCCTTTCCCATTGTTATATTTGCGTGGTAAGTGACAAATCAACAGTTTTGAAATAACATGTTGACAGGCTAAACAGGACTCATAAGGTTATGCAGTGCATGGAGTATTTTGAAATCTGACTCTTACTTTTGCTTCTTTGAGACTAACATTAATTTTATTAGCAGTCATAAAGCTTTCCCATGAAGTGTTTCATGGAGGTCAAGTAATATAATCAGGTTACCCTGCAGTCAAGGTCAACCTTCCAGAATTTGGAAGGTACAGTGTGAATGGCTAAGCTTGGGAAAGGAATGTTGTTCTCGGTTGAACAGGCGTTTTTAGGGAGGGACGAAATACAAGCTCCCCTAAAAATGCCTGTGTTGGAGGGTAGTTCCAAGGGGTCCTCTCCTACTCATTCCACTCATCCTCCAAAAGAGGCAGGATGCGCTGGTGATAAGCAGGAGGTTGTTTTCTGGTTCTAAAGTCACTGACAAAACTATAAGAATGCTTACAAAAAAACTAATGTGTTATTTCCACACTGGAGGGAAACACAAGCAAGGCCGTCTGCCGAATTTAAGCCTGCTGCGAAACCCTGTGCATGATCCCCAAGTACAAATTTTTGTGTGCCTCTACAGGGCTTGATGCTTTTAGGGCTGATTTGCTCTTCTTTGCTGGTGTGGTACAGACAAAGACAGCTCGACAAAGTGTTTTATCAGAAACTTCAAAGACAAGTGGAAAGTGACACTGTATAAGCATGATAAAAAAAATATGAACACCACAATTTGACATTATTAATGATGGATAAAAAGGCAAAGAAATAGTTGGGAGTAACACAAACCAGCCTTCAGCCTTTTATAAGATGTGGTCAGGAAAGGTATCAAGAGAGGCGATTGATTTCAAGTTCAGCAAGTACACTTTAAAATCTTTTTAGCACCATTCTACAAAAATGAAGGACTGCACTCTAATCTTAAAGAAATATTGGGCAATTCCAGAAAATATCCATACCCAACCACGGACGGCTTCCATGTTTTAATCCCCCCTTGCCTTCGGAAATTCCAAAATGCGCTACCCCCCCATGCCCTCAGAATTCCATAGTCGTGAACCCCCCCTCCCCTTCAGAATTTCCGGTTTTTTTTGGAAGTACATTTTCGACTTAGCAACGCCTATAAGAACAAACGAACATGAATTTATGCCTCCTCAAGGCTGTGATCTAGCGGCGCCAGGTGACAAGCTTTACTCTTCAGTGTCGAGAAAAACCTACGCTAGTTGCCAGGCCGTGCAAACTCCTTTTTAAGTCCGAATTTGGCTATAAAAATAAACACCACTTAAGGTAATTTTACTCCTCTTTGTTTTCTTGTGCTGTTTTGACGTTTACAAAGGAAAATAGCTCAAACAGACTGTTAAAATCTTTTGGCGGTCAAATATACCGTCGAGTCGTGTTGCGTCCTTTTATACGTCATGTAGTGCGCACGAAAAGCGTTCTAATCTGACAGGCGTTCCTTGGAAGTGGGGGACTGGTGCGAGATTTTTTACTGTTTATCGGACGCTTTCGGACGGGAGTAACAAGAAATTTGCAAGCGGTATTAAAAGATACATTTTCAGTTTTTATTCACGTGACAAGAAATTCATCAAGGTAAATGTGAAACCAACGTTTTACTGTTCACTTCTATAAGTTATGAGCGTAAACACGTGTCTGATCTATCGATGCTTGTCTTCTGCTTCCGCGGTCATACGTTCGTGGTTTATCCGGTTTATTTACGAACTACAAAAGTCCACAACAATAGCGTTTTCCAGGAACTTACTCTACACTTTCTACTCCAGAAATCCCACCTGTGGAATTCCCCCATACCTTCGGATTTCAATTCGTAAATACCCCCCCATGCCTTCAGAATTCCATAATCGTGAATCCCCCCTCCCCTTCGGAAATCCGTAAAGCCGTCCGTGGTATGGTATGGATATTTTCTGGAATCGCCCATTTACAGGTATATCTCAGTACCGTACCTTTAATTAACATTGGATAGAAATACATTTTATTTTTCTTATTACAATATCTTTCTTCTTAGAATAGTGAGTGGTATATTTGTTGTTAACAAACAAGTTATATAAATAATATGCAGAGTTTTCCTTATCTGTTAATGTAATCGTATGCGTCAGTGTTGTTTATAGAATTGCTGACAATTCAAGGCTTTAATAAGTTTTTGAAGTGCCATAATGTTAACACACTACAAGAACTTCTGCAAAAAATATTTTTTATTTAACCACACCTTGATTTCTTTTGTTAATGTCAGTCAAACATGCCGCTATTTTAGCACTCCATCCATTTTAGTCTTCTCTTGAAAGCCCTTCAGAATACGAAGGTGTGCCATAGGTTAAGGTCATTAAGGAAAATTAATTATATAAATTAGGGAACACATGACTTTGAATACAAGTTAACGAGTGTGGAGTTCTGGAAATATTTCCAATTCACAATTAACTGAAACAGCTGTTAAAAAGAACAACATGCCAGTAAGATGCGTTGCATTTAGATGCAACAATACTGGCAGCCTATGAAAGGGATAAGAATGCATAAAATCCTTTTTTTTCAGTTCCTTAATTTATGTCTCGAGACATCAGATATGAGCCTGTCAATTTCTACCCTGCGAACAGAGTCTCCTTCGATCTTCCTTGATAAGTCTCTTTCCCAACTTATCTAGGAAAGATCAAAGCGACTCTGCTAGCAGGTAGTCAATGTCGTGACCAGTGGAATGGGTGCGCCAAAGAGTTAAGACGTTTGTAAAAACTCTCAATCATTTTTTTAATATTGCAAAATGTTTTTGAAGAAGTTCTTGCAACCATCCAGTGCAAAGATCATGACACGGGCTAGTTGCAATACAACAGACTAATATTATTAATGTCGTTGCTGGCAGTTTAGTCTTTCACGCCTGATTGGGTTTTTTTCTTTGAAACACGATAACATTCCAGCAATATTTCTGGGTTGGTTTTGTTACTTTGACAGTAACATTAGAGTACAAGGTCATAATTTATAAAGAATTTTTTTGCTGGATAAACAAAAGTCAGAGATCTGGTCACAAAGGTCTTATTTTTCAGTTGTCAGCTCAAGTTCATTTGAAACAACAGAAAAAAGAACACCTTTGTGACCAGGGTAGGAAAAGTAAGGGAAAGTGTGCATGCTTTGTATTAATAAATTGTTAATTTTATTACCAGCAGAAGACTGATATCATGAAAGAAAAAAACTTTTGAAAACATTGAACAAGATTTCAGTGCCAGTAATGCACTGTAATACTAGTGATTTGACATGGACATTGAATCATGTATCAGTGTGTTTGCTGGTGTTAATTTTGTATAAAACAGAACCTTTGTAAATTTCAGGTACACAGTTTGGATTTTGTAAACATTATGAGGTCTGTAAAAATGTAATTTATTTACTAGAGGTCAATATTTATTGGAAAGGTGTCTGAAATTAATAAATACAAAATCAAATGAGCTCTAGATTCTTTTATGTTGAGTCTTTCAGGCCGTATTTTTGGGAGAAAGGTAGTTCTATTCTTTACATTTAGACTTGAGAGCAGGATGGATGACAGATATTTATGTTCTAAAACAAAAACAACTCTGTGGATTGTTTGAAAAGCCGATCATATGACGGTTGGCTTAAACTAGCCTCAAATTATATTTTTCTTGGTCCAATAATCCGTTATTTGCAGAAATAAAATGACTGGGAGTGTGATGACAACGATGTAGCTTGAGGGGTCCTGCTCACGGCCGTACCTTTGCCCCCCCCCCCCCCCCCCCCCCCCCCCCCACACACACACACACACACACACACACCTTAAATCTTAACTACCATGTCCTTATTTTCACGGGACTTAATTCTCTCAACTGAAATTGCAAAATTAAGGGCCCACAAAAGAAAAAGGTTTGTGAAAATCAGCCATGCAAAATTTGACACCCCGCCATATAATTCTTAAGTTGAGGCCTTATGCACCTACTGGCATGATGAGACTTGATGATGATGATGTAATAATAATTTGTTCTTAAGTCCTCCAACAATGGGAGAAAGCAGGAGTTGCCAGGGTAGTGAAGGGTAAGTCAGCTCTTCCAGCCAAGGATCCATTTCCAAAAAGTTGAAAATGTCCTTTAGCTGTTAGTGCAAGGAAACAATTGACCGTGTTATCTACTTAACTTGCAGAAAGTAAAGCTAAAATGTCAGAGTTTTCATAAGTGATAGCAGCAGGATCTGCCTCTTTGTTTCTGGCATATTTCTCAGCATCGATCAACATTGCTTTTGCAACTGTTGAAACAGGAATGGACTTTGCAATCCAACCTAATAAAAAAAGATGAATAAACGATGCTTTAACCCAATCTATATGTGGAAACGAAAGTATAGTGCTAATTAATGGAACAAATCTTGGTCTAAATTCCAGCGCAAAAACACACCAATTAAGGTGTTTGTGACTTGAGGTGCTGAATTATAGTGACTGGTACAAGTTAGAAGTTCAATTCTCGAATGACAAAATCTTGAAAGCAGTTGTAATGTCTTAGTGTCCCGCACTATGCTGACTTTTGTTACTGACAGATGCCACATGACAACTTTCAAAGTTCAGGTATGTGATTCTGTGAGGTTGGTTTCAAAAATTGCTATTAATTAATATTCTGCATGCAAAACAAAATGAATCAGATGCTTGAAATAAGGTCTCTTGCATTAAAAAAGGACGTAACCTACCATATGCCTTTTCTAGAAATCTTTTCTTGGCCCCTCTATCTAAAAGACCAGGTCTAAATATGCTTGTCTTTGGGTATTGCATCTCCTTCAAGGATTCTTCAACCTGACAAAGAAACAAACTTTGTTACAATAATTCACTTCTGAAAAAACTAAATCACGCCTTATGCTAGGTGAAAATACGGATTGATCAAATAATCACTATTGTTGATGATTAAAAACAAAAAGTGAATTTTTCTGGGAAACAAAGTTTTTAGAACTTATTGCTTAAGTCCCATAGCCGCAAGAGTCGTAATCTGCAATGCATGACAAGTCCCACGTAAACATAAAAGTTTAACAAGGTTCATGCTCAAGTTTTATGTTACCATTGACCTCCCAAACATTGCCATATGCGCACAAGATCTACGCGCATTAACCCACATAAATATTACAGGAGAGTGAAAATCCACCCTAACCGAGGTTAAATTATTTCTGTGATGCAGGCTAGTAATACATTGCCTTTGATTGTGGAAGATTCCTTAAAATTTCAGTAATAACTGCGTAGAAATCATCGGAAATTTTCACTTTAGATATATTTGCATTGCATTGCACTATTGCATTTGTTTGTATTAGTTTTCAATAGCTTAGTATTCTTTCGTTGTTGACAGCTAACGACAGGAACACAACGAAACGCCACAGAGTAAGAGGAAGAAGAAGAAGAAGAAGGGTGTCCATGGTGTGGTGTTTCTGTTCATCATAAAAGTTTAAAATCATGAAAAGTTACGCAATCTTATATTTTTTGTTGAGGTTTAACCCACAATAATAATTAGTGGTTAGCAATTGTGTGCAAGTTTAGATACCCAAGTGTAATGCTAAAATCTTTTTCCAGGTTTAAAACAGAAGGTACACGAAGTCTCTGACTATTGTATGTCCCAAAGGCAGTCAATTGTTACTGTGTAACCAAGCTAGCTGCTGGAAGTTTTTTCTCCTTCCCTATATGGTTTCCATGCCCTCAAACAGGCTACTTAAGAATTAATCACCTCCTTATTTCTTGTCTAATATCCAAGAAAGCTCAAGTTAATGCTTTTACAGCATCTTGTGTATTTCAAAAAATTAATGCTCTTATAGAGTTTTTTTAAATCTTGCCTAAGGTAAAGACTACAATCCAGATCACACTGGAGGACTATATTTTATAAGATTAACATGGCTAGATTTTTGAGAAAATTCTCAATTTGTAGATTTCATACACGTATTATATTGTTGTTCTGTTGCTATGGAAGCAGAGATGACAACAAAACATACTCTAAAATTAAGTTCAATGTTAGATATCTTGTTTAAACACTGTGGCTTTAATTTTTGCACATGTATTTTAGCCAAAGTTATGGGGCATGAAACACAAAGGTTTAATTTACACCTTGAAAAATGGGTGCAAGCCTCCTTAAATGAACCAGACCAAAATTTGAAAAAACTGCTTTGAAAGCAAAACATACATGTAATAAGAGCCCTTCCTGATTAAAAAGCCTCATCTACATCTTCCCTCCCTAACCCCCCCCCCCGCCTTCCAACTTTCACCCACAATAAATAATATTAATAAGCTCTCAGGATATAAATGTCTGCTGTTTAGAAGCTTTCATTTATTTTGAAGCCAGTGAGGACCACAAAACTGTGGAGGGTGTTCCTTTTTTGGAAACTGTTTAGGGCTGACTAAGTTTAAGCAAAGTCAAGGGGAGTTATGTAAATTTTTAGATTACTACAGAAGGGGCATACAAAGATAGTCCGCAGCATATAAACAAATTTGCCTAGCCCACTCCACCCTTAGTAAGCTCATAATAAAAAAAGCCACCTTTTAATAATTGTAACCTTAGCCTTTAACTTTGAGATACAAAAGCCAACTGGAAGAGTTAGCTCAAGAACTGTTTAACAGTTAGAAAATAATAGATTCCATGTTGCCGTATGTCTGCTCAGTAATAGATCACTGTTGACGTCAAAATGCTCCAGACTTTCTACTATTTTTCCAGACTTTATCTCTATTTTCAAGACTTTTTCCAGGGCTGGAAAATTGCTGAGCAAATTTCAAGACTTTTTCAAGAATTCAAGACTGCTCGAACCCTGTTCGTCTTTTCCTCTTTATCTTAGTTGCATACATTTACTCCAAAAAGATTTTCAGCACCTTCACTTGCTCATTAAAGGGCAATAATCACTAAATATTTTCAAAACTGCAAGCCTCTCATAGCGATGACACATGCATCATGGCAACTGTTGTGAAGATTTGTTCCAGTTTAGGCATTTTAAAGTCATCAAGAACTCTTTTTGTCTGGACTTTTCCATTTTCTTCTTTGTTAATAGCTCCTACATGTACTCAACTTTTTTCGAGGCGGCCCTCACTGGCTTAATCTGAAATAATCTTGCAAACATTTTCAGAACCTCACGCCGTATTGAACAAAATAGAGGAAACAAGTTTCCCAGCCTTGACATCATCCATGTGTCTGTACTCTAATAGATCATGAGCAGCGACCAATCACAGCCCACGTAATATTCAGGACAATTGTATTAAAATTTTCAGCTTACTACAGAGGGGGCATAGAAAGATAGTTTGTGGCATATCAACAAATATGCCCACACCACTCCACCCTGGCTCATAATTAAAAAAGCCACCTTTTACATGTAATTACCTCGCCTTTAACTTTCATATACAAAAACCAACTGGAAGCGTTTGCTCTCTCTGAAGACACATATAACACATGTGGAACATTAGCTTCCTTTGCTACTTTGGCACAGTTGATAACAAAGTCAAAATCCACATGTCTGAAAGCAGCCTAAAAATAAATGACGACATCTCGTCAGAACTAAATTATAGCATTGGTTTATGCCTCCTTGGGATTCTTGGGAAAATGAAAAAGTCAGGAACGTACTTCCACAAAATCCCTTTAATGGATGTGTGCCATCCAAAAGGGTGTGGTGGTGGGTGCAGGACTCTGGACAGAGAAAAAGGATATCTCATACAAAACTGTATTTCTCATTTTTAAGTTATAAGATACTTCAAAAGCAAAACCCTCAAAAAATAGCAGTGAAATATATATCCAGAACAGGAGATTAGAATCCTGGTGTTTCTAAATTTATACTGTACCATTGTATTGGTATTGTGGGGTGAGACTTTTCTTAACATCTCTGTAAAACATGTTACATCGACAGTATCAATATTTACAACCATTAGCAAAAATATATACTTACTGCAGATCCTGCAGCACGCCGTGTTGTACCCAAAGTACAAAAAAACACATCTTTGTCCTTGAAATGTGCCCCAAATGTTTCACTGCTAATGTTTTCAAAGTCTTACACAAAAAGAAAAAAATGAAAAAATACAATCAATTAACCAATATTAATGGTCTTCTGTAAAGCACACATTCTGCCCTTTCCTAGGTATGGAAATTGTTTTCCTTATGGTCACCTAGCTGTCACCTTTCGATCCCTAGATCCCATCGAGGTATTTCTTGTTATCTATTACCATCCTATTTTGATGTCTGCATCCCCCTAATGAGGTACCACGAAATCTTAGTGGAAGTTTAAGGGAAGAGGTTTTCCAGAGTTATAATTTCTAAAGGGGTAGCTGTGTCATTAACAGTACCTTTGATCAATCAGCAACATCTTCCTGACTGTGAAGGCCAAGGTTTGATCTCTTTAATTTTGCAGTGGTGGATCTAGGGGAGGGGCCTGGGGACCCAGGTCCCCTTCCCCCCACCTAATTTTCAGACCAAACTGAGGGAGGAATAACAAAAAAGTTTTGAGACCGCCCCCTCCCCCTTTCACAGGGTTTGAATGACCGGGCCCCCCCCATTATCTGAAGGTCTGGATCTGCCACTGTTTTGTGAGAGAAAAAATTTCTATTTTTGAAAGCGTGATATTCAATCTTGAGCACCTCAATAGAAAGGGTGCATAAAGTAAATCTAATGGCACAATTTTTGCACCAGCTCAATGTAAAGTACGCATTAGAAATTTATTTTCAAGTATGAGTAAGGGTGACATCAAAGGTTTCAGTCAAAGACATATGATACTCAAGTTAAATTTCACTAATAACTAAAATGTATTTTCCTTTATGTACCTACAACATGCTGCTCCAGCCTTCCTGAATCTTCCTCAGCTTTTTGATCAACAGAGTATCCAGAAGGAACTGTGGCACTTCTTCGACCCAAGGACACCACTTTGGAAATGTGCTTTAAGAAACAAGTTATCTATGATCAGCTATTACAAGCTTTGAAAGAACACACCATGCCAAGGGGAGGGTAATTTAATTAACCACACCTCCATCTCCCCTGCAGATGAGATCTTATGATAGGGGCTTTTAAGGGGGTCAATACTATACATCAACAACATTCATCTTTGAAATATTTTGAGGGATAAGGAAATTTTTGAAGGGGAAAAATGGGCAAAATCTATGGCAGTTTTCTGACCGAAACGGCACAAAAACCATCTTCTTAAAGGCTTCTATTAGGGTCCCCCTTCCCCTAGGGTTGTGAGTACCTCTGGGAAATATTCTATAACTACGAACCTGGTTTCAGTTTGGCTTTAACTTCAAAAAGTTGCTTATTTAACTGCAATATATCTTTGAATTCATGGTCTCATACATGTTAAACTCGTTTCCCCACCGATGGATTAAGACTGGCCGGCCATAGCAGCAATACGTATTGTATTGACAATAAGTTTATTTACATCAGTAAATTCCTGTTGCACCTAGCCCCCCATCCTCCCCACCCCCAAGGCTATTGCAGGGCATTCGCCCACCTTGTCAGTCCTGGGGTGGGGCATTAGCAACTTTTGCACTGTACCAGGGGCAGACATTTGCCAACAAATTACTACTACCATAAACTGACTAAACTGGTGTCATCGTGGCGTGAAGTCTTAATTAGAATAGTTAGTTCTATTTCAAAGGCAGACGTTAATTGAAACAAAAAATCACAAATTAAAATGCTTAAAATATGCCACGACTCGACTGTGTGATCAATGAAAATGTTGCAGTGTTGATGGAGGACGGGGCATTTGCTCTCTTTATTCGTTTCCACCCCGGGGGGATTTGGCACCTCAAGAGTCCCCGCCCGCGGGAAATTGCCATATATCCAAGGCAAAAAATTGCTAATGTCCGGGGATATCGGCCCTTGGGGGCTGGGCGCAGCTGGAATTGACTGATGCATAACATATAAATACTCACAAATACTGGGCAAACATGTCGTTTGTTTTCCCTCCGCGGCCGAAAAAAGCTTTATATATTTTACTTTACGCATTTAAGAGAAAAAAGCGGACAATAAGACAATGAGAGATATAAATCACGACAGGATATTCGCGGCTGGTCATCTAGCTAACTAACACCGCCTCATTCTCAACAGGGCTGCCGAGACGTATTTCCGGTTAAAAAGGAGGAAGCAAACCTTGGAGGTCAAAAGTTCTCCAAGCAGACATTCACCGATGGCACCGGTAGCTCCAATCAAAACAGCTCTCATTCCCAGAGGTTCTTCTGAGGATGAAATTTGCTTTCCAGTATCACCACCTTCCGCCATATTTGTTTAGTATACCAGACTTCCTTGCGTGTTATAAACACGTGGCATATGGGATCTGGGCTCTTCGGTTAGGTTGGTAAGGGTGGAGGGGGTGAGGGGGCGAATTCGGAATCCAGTTACTTCGCTTTATCTGGAACCTATTTAGTAGTGGCTTTACGGCTAAAATTTATTGCTAAGATTTTCGCTAAAACACAACGCGACTACAAGTCGCCATTGTCACAGCAATGTGCTTTTGTAAATGGTATATAAATAAAGGAATATGAAAAATGTGGAAAAGGGAAAAAAATAATGAAAATGAGAGAAGCAAAAATCAGACAGATGGTCTGGTAGGAGCGGAATTATTAGTTCGGGCTCTTCATCCCTATGAACAGCACTATGAGCCTGCGAGAGATCCAACGTTTACAACTAGCAGGATCTTCGTCCACGGTATTTGCAGTTAATTTAATCCTTTATTACTGCGAAAAACAGCCTTCTCTCAAACTGCGAAGAGCGAGGAGAGACGGCTGTATTCAAACGCTAGAACACTGGTAACAACTTAGACAAACTTAAAGCAAGGGGTACATACACATACACCAACCCACTGCCTGATCAGTACCTCACCCATGCGCAAAGGCATATGACTCGGGCAGTGGCAGTCATGGACAGCTGTTTCCCTCTCATTGAGGCTCGTCAGCATGGCAAAACAGCTGTCTATGGCTACAATCCCGCCCTGTTTTGAGTTCTTTGGGTGTCGTCTTGCAGAGTTAATTTTCACGTAGTACGATCAGGATTGCAGTATTCTGCTTGCAGAATTTAATATGTCTACTCCTTTAATCGCCAGTTCCAAACAACGCATATGGAAGCTGTTGGCTGAGCGGAGAAGGCGGGTCCACCCTGATCTGATCGCCAGTAAATTCAAAACTTAAAGTAAGGGGCACAAATACACCAACCCATCGCCTGGCCAGTACCTCACGCATGCGCAAGGCCATATCACCCAGACAGTGGTAGCCATGGACAGCCAGTGTTTCGCCCTTATTGGGGGGCTCATCAGCATGGTATAGCAGTCTGGTCTAAGAACGGGCGACTGGGCCCTTGTATCCGAGACCCTTTACTGCCGAGGCGAGTATTACTGATTTCGTAAAATAGTCCCAGTGCTCTTTCCCTGAGAACTAGGTTTCATTTTCCCTAGCAACTTTTCAGGATGGAAAACTGAAGTGTACATTCCATGATAGGGGTAAATGGAAATTGTGGGCATCACAGAGATATTTCCCAAAAGCGGAATGTTTATGTTCATCAATTCATGCAGGAAAAGGTGGCCTTGCTCTTTCTCGGCTTGACGAATCCACAGGATCATCATACAGAAAACAGTCCACCTTCCAAACGGACACTTGTGTATGAGACAAACAGATACCTACGATGTGAGCCCCTGCATAAGAACACCCAAAGGGAAATTTTGAGAAGAAGGCCTAAAAACAACAACAAAGCAAGAATAAAGCTTTCTGAAGCGATTTTAAGCACTTTAAGAGATTGTTGGGAAAAAGCTATCTGCTCCTCACTCCCAGCAAGACTGATGGAAGAGTTTCCAGCCAGCAAGGTGCATCTACAACCTACAATTTGACTTACTGGGAAGTTTATCAGCACACGTATGTCCAGACATTACTGGCCAGTTTGGGTGTGGTCATAGGGCAAAATTCAGACTTTCAGTAGGGGGTTTGGAAGGAAAATGGGCGTGGCCTAGGGGAGAAATTCACCCCTTTGGTGGAGGGGGAGGAGGAAAGGAGGTTTTTCACAAAGAACACATACCAGCTATTCTAGACATCAATTGCCTCACACACCCTGAATTGTCTTTTGCCCAGCAACACTTTCCTTCTAAGGACATCTTCCAGCCAGCAAAAATTTGCCTGAAGAACAGATATTTTGAGGAAACAAATCCATTGGGTGCCCCTGCCTGCCATACAGGCCGACCCACTACTTCTTTCAAAGTTACCCTTCGCGAATCGGGATCATTGCATTGGGGTCTTCTTTGGTTACCAACACCTCCTAATAAAGGTGATTCCATCGCTCCCTTACATACGAGAAATAAAGTCCCTGAAAAGTTAGTGCTTTAGCGTAATAAAAGGTCTAAACAGGCGATGCGTCACTAAAATCCTTTGCATTTTCATACGTGTAAAACCTCCGCGGAAAAAAAGAGAAACCTTAAACCTTAAATCTTAAACCACCCCACCGCCTGGCTTGATTATATCACTTGCTCTGGGTTTCTCCTAGACTGCAAAACAGTTGGTTTTTTTCTCAAAATCAGTAAAGAAATCGGTAAAGCGTGGCGTAATAGTCTTACGCGGCAAGCCCCACGCCCCCCCGCTTGTTTGACTGCTCGCGCGTACTTGAATACGCAAAAATACGGACTGTTTTGCAGTCTAGGTTTCTCCTTTGATGTTGAATAATTTGTCGTAGAATTAAGAAACAGTTTAGAGTTAGGGACGTGACCTCATGAAAAACCTTATCTCACGAGGGGACAGAAACGGAAAACATTATCCTAATAAGTAAGGATAATTATAGGAGGTCAGGATCACCCATGCAGCCAGACTCATTTGGACGTAACCAGGTCACTGAAAATAAAAAAAATCTTTTCAGACTTTATTTTTTTGGTTAGTTCCAAAACAGTACTGTTTTGTTTAACTGTTAAGTATGTAAAGAAAGATGTATATTATATAATACGTACAAAAATCCCAGCACAAAAAATACATGTGCGAATTTCGATATAATACACAACGGAAATTTATACTCCACTGATCCAGGAAAATGACAAATAAGACCGTTTTCCAATAAAGTAATCATCGAGGAAGTGGGTGTTTTAATTTCTAGTCACGGTGGTGCATGCCTCGAAAAAACTTTTAAATTTCTAATCAGCCTGAGATAGAGCGATTTGCCTTATCGTCATCATAGTTAGTAAATCATAAAAAATTCTGTTTGTTTGTTTGCTTGTTTGTTTGTTAGCTCTTTTGCTTTGTCGCACTATTTATATTTCAATTCTCAAAGTAGCAAATACTCTGTTAATGTAAATGATAATCACGCCTCGTGGTGTTAGTAGACAAATCTATATGGGTTAGCTTTAGTGCTAGTTATTCTTGTTCTAGAGTCTTTTATTTTATGATATTTTATTATATTATTTGGGTAGACATTTATTGTATTTCAGTGAAAAACTGTATTCTAGTTGATGTTAGTTGTTACCCTGTTCGTTCATTTTTTGTCAGGCAACATATTTCAAATAAAGTATTTACAAAAAGCAAAGAAAAATCATCATCATCATTATTATTATTATTATTATCTTTTTTTTGCTTTTTAAAAGTTCTCGATTTTTAGGAATGTACCAAATTGTTGGCGGGCACTAAATTTCGCGAAACGAGACAGATCTCGGGCAGTCTCGGGTGATTAATTAAAATTCGTGACTTGAAAAAAACGTCGTGTGAAAGTTAACTTAACTTCTCGGAATATATCTTAATGAGAACCAATTGTCTTCTCAGCCGGAATCGACTCTACAGCTTTTCATTCAGTGTGTCTCGCAATAAGGTCTAAAATTTATCGGAGTGAGGGTAACTGAAACACGCACACAATTTGGTGATATCCCACTGGGAATTCACTCAAAGCAGTAATGTTGTTTGGTTCGATTCAAGGAAGACGTATAGTTACAGCTTGAGGGCTCAATACCTATCTGGTGTCTGTTTTTTCAGACGTTTTTATTATTATTTACTCGTAGTTATAGTGCTTTTCGCTAGTAATTGTTATTATTATTATTATTATTATTATTATTATTATTATTATTATTATTATTATTATCAGTATCATTATTATTGTTGTTTTTGTTAACATCATTGTTATTTTCGGATCAGGAAATACAGTCGAACCTCCCGCAATTTGACCACCCAAACTGCGAAGACCCCAGCGGAGGGGGTTGGGGTGAGGGGGGACTTGGGTTGATTTTTGCTGGGTATGTGCCGCTGGCCTCTCAGAGCCCCAACCAAATTATAGTCTATTCTGCGCCCAATTATAGACCCCATCTTAGTCACTTTCTATTTTTATGAATTGACCCATTTTTTAGATTGAATGAAGAACACTTTACTTTTCATCTGCAGTACAAACATTCTGGTACGTTTGCTCCTGAAGAACTGTTTTACCCCAAAAAATTCGACTCCATTCTAGTAACTCTATTGAAAATGCGACCCCATTATAGTCAATCAAGTCCTGAAAATGCGACCCCATCCAGCAGCACATCCCCGTTAGCCTCTTATAAGGAAGTACCCCCCGAGCGAAGACTACACCACTGGAGATGATCACTTACAAGAATCCAACCACAGGAGTTCTCTTCTGAAAAGAGGTTAGGACATTTATATTTACTTTATGGAAGATTATAGTTCACTGCAATTTCTGAGTTGCAATATGTGTAGTTGTATGTTGTCGCTAGAGGTTCTTTTTATACTCTAATTAGCACTGTACTTACAGCGAACGCAGAGATCAGATCATGCGTCAAATGGTCGTTTACAAGAGGTGAAAAAACAAGGAGAAAATTATGAAACCATCAGCCCCGAAACGTGGTCGCGGTCGCTAGGAAGATGGTCGTTGACAGGAGGTTCCCATTGAAAAACTTTGTAAAGGTGGTGATAGGTGGTATAGGGCCGCTTACGAGGGGAGAGGAAGTCGTCGTAGACGCACATGGAGGTTCGTACTGTATTGGGTCAGTTGAGGAAAAGGGCAAACCAGAGTACGCGCGAAAAAAGTGTCTTGTAGCAATGAAGCTAGAAAACCAACAAGAAACTCAACCCGCGTTTGGCCTCCCACGTCGTTGCCGGAAATGGAACCCGTGCCACATTATATTGATGAAAGGCGAATACTAATTTTTGGCCAAAAATAATTGAAATATCTATAAAAAGAACTTCTCAACACAGTGAGGGAATATTTAAGTAACAGAGCAAATATACATGTAAAGGAGGGGACGGAAGGACAAAGATGAAGAAGATTAATTCGGATTATAGTTCATATAACAAATGGGATTTTTGAAAACTTTTCCGTCCAGCCACGGTGATGTTTGTTACTGTTACTGTAGTTGCTTTTGTTGTTGTTGATTATGATATTGCTTGTTTTTTTTTTTTGGCCTTAAGTGGAACTTTAGTTAAATTATACCTGATAAAAATACAGTGAGAATTTATGTTGTCCTCTGAAAGTATTTTCCTCGTTAAGTTTCAAAGTGAGTATCGGTGAATGGCAAACTATAAACAAAATGGATAACAGTCCTTTAAATACAAGGGTGTCTCCAGAATACGCCTATCACTTCTTTTGGCAAAATTATAAAGTTATGAAATCATTAGTTTCTCTAGCAACCTTTGCACTAAGTACCTCTATAAACACTTGCTACTCTGAATATGATTTTTGTTTACACAATATTGCACATAGTGGACATAGCTAGCTGCACAACAGTTTGTGGGTCCCTCTCACACCCAATTTCCTATCCAACACCCCGCCCTCGCCCACCAATGAGGGGCTTAATTTTGCCCCATGACCACACCCAAACTGGCTAGTAATGTCTGGACATACGTTTGCTGGTGACTTCCCAGTAAGTCAGGTTGCGGGTTGTAGGTGCACCTTGCTGGCTTGGAACTCTTCCATCAGTCTTGCTGGGAGTGAGGAACAGATACATTTTTCCCAGCAACCTCCCAGAATGCTTAAAATGGCTTCAGAAAATTTTATTCATGCTTTGTTGTTGTTTGTAGGTCCTTTTCTCAAAATTTGTCGTTGCGTGCCCTGCCCTCTCTAATGTTGCATCTGCTAACCCCTTAATTCATTTCATTCATTACGCTGTGACTGAGGACTTAATCAACTGCAATGCCGTTTGGTAACCCCCAAGTTTCCATTCTTTACCACACAACCAGGAGCCCATCAAATTTGATGGGCTCCTGACACAACTCAACCATTTTACGTTCACTTTATACCTTAAACGTTCTCCCACACACATCCTCTAGCTACTTCTTCTCCCACTGATTCTATCAGTGGAGGAGAACCCGTGTATTTGGTTATCCCTTTCCCAACACCTGGTAAGCCACAAAGGTTGCTAGAGAAACTGCGCTCATAATTTTATAATTTATTATAAAGAAGTTACACAACAATGGGTCTGATGGGGTTATGCCACAAGGATATTTCAGATTTAGGTTATTTCTGTGCTTAAGTCATTACTTATAGTGCTTTTACAAATACACAAAATGCTTCTGTATAGTTATGAAGATGATATCTACCAAACTTCATTCGGGAGCCCTGACCATAATATTTTTGGATGATTTTTGCAGTCATAGACACCTATTTAAACTTTTGTAAGTAATTTTTTGTCTGTAATTTAAGTTGCATAATTCTTCTGTTTTGTAGTGTCTTAGTTTATACAGAAGTTTATTTTGTAAAATCGCGCCGTCTTTCCTCTGAAGTTATGTAAGATGTTATGTCTACTTAAACTAAAACTGGGGGAGCCTGGACCGCATACAAGCCCCAGGCCTCCTGTTCAGGCTTCTCCGGCCCGTCACCATCTTTTCCCATATATTTTTGTCGGTATATAGAATCTGTAATGTGACAAAAACAAATCAATCAATCAATCAATAAACTTGAAAAAGGAGAGCCAATTTTTCCATCCTTGCCATACTACCCTGCAAACTTTGAGCTCAAACGCGATAAAAACTGCAAAAAAAAAAATGCAAAAACTCCTGGAGTGCAGTTTCAGGCGTTCTGCTGACCCGGGGTGAATGAAGTTTTAGCGTTGTGCTACTGTAAAAAGATACAGGCGATTCAAATACGCGCATGCGCCTGTAGGCTTTAGCATTGATCTCATCTCTGGGTCTGGACAGTTATAAAACGGCGAAAAAATAGAAAATTGAGAAAATAAGATCAAGGTTAAAGTTTGGGAGAACGTTTTATTTGTAAGGTCAATGGTTTTGTCATTTTATATCAGATTAAAATAAATTTGCAGTCTCTTTCAGACAATGGTATGAACTTTTAAACTTTTGGAACAAATGCGATTTTTTAAGCTGATAAATCTATTTTTATTGTTCTACTATTAACGGTTTCCATTGCTTTCTTGGATCTTTTGTGAGACACTCTCAAAATGTTTTTCAATTTCTTTGGCGAGTTGCCCCTGGTCCTTGATGATTTTTTTTTAACACAGTCTCAAATCTCAAACAAGAGCCGAAAAGATGTGGTTAGGGCAAGTCACGTTTTGCGTCTACTTCCAAAATATGCTTATCGTTGTTTTAAATTCCTGAGATTGTGATAAAAGACAAACTCACTTAAACTTTAAAAAATGTTGGCTTGCATCCTAGAAATAAGCTCCAAACTATTGTAGCCTTATACTAAGTTAATCTGTTGAATTTCTCGAGGTAATCACGTACGAATCAGCAGAGTACATATTTGAGCATGAGAAGACCATTTGCTGCAATTCATCACTGCCACACTTAGTAATAAGCAGTCCTAAATGGACTTGTTCCAGTGGTTAAGACATTCAGGGGTGGTGCCTGCTGTATAGGTAGCTTCCACGTACCAAGCGTGCGAAAAGGATAAGTGACTGTCTAACCTAATGAAGATTTACAGCCGAAGGCTGGTCTGCTTTTTTGCTAGCCCGCTAGCCTTGAAGAAGACCTGGTGTACTAGATAAACTATTGGACTGATTTAAGTGCCCTCAGCTTATGTGGCAGTGCAAACCTTGCCGTTGAAGTAGTATCACACGTTACAGTTCCGTCTAGTGCAAGCATCTCAACAAAAAGAGATTGCCGGGTAACAAGACCTAGTACCGGTAGATTTTTAACCTGCGTCAGGAGCCGTGAATGGTTCCTTAGAGTCAAAATGTTTGTACTTTCCTTTACACTTGCTCGAGCTTTTTTCTATGTTCCAATCTTACTGCGTAAAACATCTTTAGATCGCGCTCAGTATTATACCTCCAATAGCACTTATAGCAAGCGGATATATGCTTTCAAAATTCCTCGTGAGATCTGATCTGAAACCAATGATTGAGTCATACTCTCTACATTACGAACAACTAACTTTAATGTCGTCCATGAAGATGAATTAGACCACACCAGGAGCATGGGCTCCTGACAACACCCTATACACCCCTCCATCACAGCCCAGCGAATTCAAAATTAACGGTCTCAAGCAACTTTTAACGATGGTGCTTTTCTCTTGTAGTACTATAAATAAAACTCATGCAAAGATGGTTGTCTTTCTTGCTAAAAAAATGTAGTTATTTTCAGCTTAGACAATTGCTTCGAAGTGCCTATTTTTGTAATAAGTGAAACCGTGTGTGCATAGCGCATATGTTTCCCCGGTTTGAGCTGCATTGCACGCGTTGACAAGTATCCCAGGGATAAAGAGGCACAGGGAGGCCTTTGCATGTTCCCCTGCCGGCGGCGACACGCCCTAAACGAACAATCTCACAGTCGCGACCTGTTTCTGAAATCGGCAAAATAAACATGGGCAAATGTCTATGCACGTCATACAACGCAAGTTGCTTTCATTTTATTTCAGTTAATGAACTAAAATAACGAGATACTAGATAAGTAGATGGATCACGGAAAACATTGGAGAAACAGATATTTGGGATAAAATTAGAGCTAGAAAATATTCAGTGAAGATTCGTTAGTTTGTTTGCTTTGTTTTGACCCAGACAGAAAAAGTTAAGACCCTTGAACTGCGTTGTCTTTGTTGGTTTAAAGAGAAAATTACTTCCATATTAAGAACAAATATAGTTAGCTTTTAAAGACGCTATCTGATTAAATTGTTTGGCCTCTAATGTCGATTGCTTGCCTTCCATTCCAAAACCTATCCAACGCCATTTTGATCTTCGTCAAACTGAAGTGAGACAGACCAGCGAAAATTACCGGATAATGTAGGATCGCCAATCATAGAGTGTAGCAGTCGGCAAAGTGATAAGCCTCAGTCACTGAAGCAACTTTGTAAACAGGAACCGAAGGTAGGAAATACGGTAAAATGTTTCGAAAGTCTTGCGAATTTTTGCTTCATGGTGGGGTAGTTGGCGAATTGTCCAAGAGTCACAGGCAAACATTTTACCCTCTCATGAAAAGTTAGTTTAAAAGCAGTAGTGTTACAGCAATTAAAACTGAAAATAGTTTTTATTATAAATATATTCCATTCACTCCTTCAATCGCTCGCTTTTTTCAAGTCTAAGGCGACCATGTTTGAGCGAGCGGTATCGACCCGACATTTCGGCTGTCGTGATCGCCGTTTAAAAGCGAAGGACTTCATGCTCAAAGAACAGCCGAAGTTTGCTGTCTACCGTAGAAACTATGGTATCCGCTCTTTTTTCACCCCTTTAAGATTTCTGTTTTCATTAGCACATTATTAATCAAAGCGACGCCAAGACAATTTTTCTGAGAAAATTCGGTGTGCTAATTAATAGGAACCAACCTACATTATCAGGATTATCTTGTTACACCACAGCTGAGCCTTGCGGTAGTTTAACTTAACCATTAATTATATTCAAGTCGCCGCTTAATGTTTTACTGTTTTACATTAGTTTATCGAACAATATTAAACAATCTAAATCTTAAAGCATGTTAACTCAGTAGTCTGAGAAAAGAAGAATACCATTGGCCAGCGACGTAAAAAAGATGCCGCCAGACCACCGTCAAAAATGGAGATTAATGACAGAAAAATAACATCAAAAAGAGAACTTTGCAGTCTGTTATCTTACAAAGGGTTCATTGGATAGGTTTTATTTTAGTCGAGAAAACGTAAACTGAACACTGGTAACCGTGATTTATGATGACGGACATTTTTTAGCGTGAGTTCCTTCTCCATCATCATGCAGTGGCACGGTGATCTCTTCGATCAATAAACTATGTCGAGATTTTTCAAGGAAGGACGATTACGAATTATCTTTAAACTCCACTCAACAAACCTCCTCCTCGCTGTATATCCAGAGAGATTGATTTAACTTAGTATTTTTCAAGCTCATTAAGCCGTTCGGCGGAAAGTCTTTTCATATATTTAGCGGCGCATGCAGATAGCTAACACAGGAAGGAGTTTACATTTTACTGTTTTCAATAATTTATACTCTAGCAAAAGATCAGAGAAAAGAGCTGACAAGTAGAGGTGATATAAATCATGGTGGAAAATCTTTAAATTGCCGCCCTATTTCCTTCAGTTATATTTTTGTTAATTGGGTAAAAAGAATGTGAAAGAATGTGCGTAATATGGAGGCTGAAAAGATGATCAATATTTACAGCTCAGTCGTATGAATTTGAGGAGGATTTTTAGAAACTTACGTCCCGGGCTTATAAATAATCTGACAAATGGGTTCTGTGATCAATAAAAACTAAGCACACTAAACTAAAACCAAAGCTAAAACACCACTGAACTCTGAGGCTTGGTGGAGCTTTCCGGCCATTGTTAATCTTTAAGTGCCGAAGTGTCAAAAATTTTACCTAATACAACCTCTTGCGCTTACAGAAAGCCGTTTACCATCGATCAAACTTACAGCACAGTTAATATCAATTTTAACATAAACACACTCCCGTTGTAGTCATATTGCATAAAATATTTTGCAAAGGAGTATAATTTATTATCCTACCAAATTGTTGAGTTTTGTGAGTATCTACAATGAACGATTCTTTGAAAAATGGGGTTTCTATATATGATGTGTCTGACTTTGTGAAAGATAAAACCACATCAATGATCATATTTGTGGATTCTTTTAAGGACACCCATCGCCCTCTTATGACTAGACAAACAAATGTGAAAAAGTACTCTATCTATAGAAACCATGCGTCTAACTTTCTCAAAGGCAAAACCGCAACATTTTTCACTTGACGATACTTCTAAAGACACCTGCCGGTTCTATTGCAAGTGGACAAATAAATGTGGGAAGCCTTCTATTTTTGTAACAATTTCCTCATTTTATTAGACCTACTGGCGCCCACATTGTTATTTAGCTGCCATTAAATTGCCCATAAATTCACAGACAAATGATACAGAAAAGTCATTCAACCAGATTGCACTTGAACAGG